TTTCTGACAATCTTTTAGTCAGCATGTGCAACGGTTAGTATATTTTAAGGAACTATTACAAAAGTGTTTCTGGGTAATACAAGGCCTGATAATTACCGCTCCTGGACCTCTCCGAAAATCTCTCATGAGCTGCAGAAGGCTCAGATCAACAATGTCAGAGTGTGTTTCCTTTTGGGAGCACAGCTGTTAAAGGGATGGTTCTGATATTTTGAAGTGGGGTTGTATAGGGTATTTATCCTTAGGCAGTATATTACTTACAGTAGATGTCAGTCGGTGTGCCCCCAGTTTGGAGAAGCAGGCTGGAGTCCAACACAGAAGCAAAGCAATCTATTGCTGTGGAGGTGTCTGCAACAAAACTTATCTTAGCCACCTAAAGAGAGATTTCTAACCGCAAAATGAAGCTCTCTTCAAAGCCAGACTCCACTGAGAAAAACAACGATTTAATATTGCTGAACACAGGAGCTGCTGATCTACTGCTGCCTCAATCAGGTGGTTTGTTTGTGTTATTGTGTGACTTTGGTGAATCCGAACTAACCTGTTTAAACACCAAAGTTGCACAATAACCCAAACTAACTAAGTGATCGAAGCAGCGGTAAACAAGTAGCTCCCATATTCAGTGAGCTAAATTGACTGTTTTTGTCAGTGGAGTCTGGTGGCTTTGACAGGAGCATAGATGGGGAACTGAATTTGTTAACGGCTTGTCCGTTGGACTGGGCTATCTGACAAAAAAGGTAAAGCAGTTTAAAATACTCTCAATATAACGTACACTTAAACTAATGTCAAATTTTTTTAGGTGAGACTTTTTTTTAGGTTGCTAAAATACCTTTTTGTTGCTGACCCCAAACCACAGCAGTGCCCTACAGAGCTTCTACTGTTAATGGTTAATAGTAAGAACCCCATACAACCTCACTTCAAAGAATCTGAACTATCCCTTTTAAGTAAATGTCTGTTACATTTTTCACTCAGGCAAAACACTTTTTTTTATCTTTATTCCTCATCCTTTTTTCTTTTGTTGTGCTACCTGGCTTTTCTTTGCTTTGTTTTTCCTGACGTCTCCAGTAAAGAAATCCTTCCCCCTGAAATACCCTAGTAATTTGCCACCCCTATTTTTTAGTGTACCAGAAAGTTGACCGAAGAATGAGTTGGAACACAGAGACAGACGATGAGGATGATGGTGGCACTGTATCAGAGATCTGACCTGCAGCTGACAAGGGCTTCATCTAGATAACAAATTGCCATTGCATTAAACTAGCTTCCATTGATTCAGCTGTCAGCAGCTATTAGCCTCTGCGCTGAGTCAAGATACAGCCTGCTTTGGCCTCTGTGCCTGTTGATCATAGATAGCACGATGCCTGTTGGCCACATATCCTGCTAGTAGATCTCCAGTTAGATCCAGTGGCTTTAGCTGTGTGTGTACTAGATCAAAATAACATTTCTTAATAGCACCCGCCTTTAACAATCCCATTGAAATCCTGTATGTTGTTCTATCGTAGGAATGATGTGAGACAGTAGTGTGTTGACAGGGAGGAACATGGGAATAATGTTTATTAGTATCCTGCCTGCAGAGCTACCATCATCTGTGTACAGGAACACTTGCAGAACCACAGCTGTTTTGCACTTTTGTTTCATCATAGAAGAAATGTTTCCTTCCAAGTTACTCAAACTGTGTACAAATGCATTTTCTGTACATTTTCCAACATGTTCTGATTGTTTGGCATTTTTCAGGCATTTGATGCCTTTTTTTGCTTTTGAATTTTGTTTTTGAGGCAGTTGCTGTTTACTCCCCACCACCTGGTTTAATGCTGTGAATACCCAATCTGAACATGTTAGCTTTGTGTGTGTGCGTGTGTGTGTGTGCATGTGTATTACATTGTATGCAAATGCAGCTTTTGTTCAATCTAATGCATTGAAGTACAAAAATACAGTAGTTAGAAGTCACGTAGGGACTTGGATGTCACTCAGTTGGATTTCAAACCATTCAAGACTGCTTACATTTGAAATGGTACGCATATAATTCCCCATCTGGTTAACTAATTTGGAGAGTTGGCTTGTTCTAAAAAAAAATGTCCCCTGTTGCACATTCCATTATCAAAAATTAGGAATCGAATGCATCTGTTGCTGGCTTGTTGTCACTTGAGTTTCTGAGTGTCTTTGTCTTTTTTTAATTTTATTTTGTTTTATTTATTTTTTTTTTTTTGCTCTCAGGCACATTTTAAAGCTGATTTTTCTTGCATATGTAGATTTTAGCCTTTTCGCTCTTTAGCCTCAAAAACCTTGTAAATGATGTATTTCTAACATGTAACTAAGCTCTAACACACATTCACTCACTCTCACAGGGAAATGAAACTGTGTTTGCCACCCATGCCTCTGTCATTGTTTGAACTTTACTCTTATACCATCCATATAGCAGTAAAGAAATTCTGTTTAGTTTCATTGCACTATGATGTGTTTTGACAATGACTATAGGAAGTGTCTTTAACTTTTTTGCCAATGATACCAAAAGCAACATTAAGTAAAGCGAACTTGTCTTGTTATCGGAATAATTTACTAAAGAAAGACTGACAGCCTTTATTGTATGTGCCAATTACCGATCTAAGTTCTGACATCCCGCCTTTTTTCAACCTCTTTATCATTCCGTCCATTCTGAGAGAAATTCCTTCACATAAAGGAACTTTAAACAGCTCAACGGTTTTGAATGTCCGCACTAAGTGCATTGTAATGCCTGTTTTAAAAAAAATACATATGTTTTATTACTCAAGCATGTATCGGTTTGTAATACTTCAGGTTCCTTGTATATGTAAATGATGACCTTCTAGTGCCAACATATCTCACTGGTATCTGAGGACAACTTTATAAATGGCAAGGTGACCAGCTGAGTTGGCCCTGTTTGAATTCAGGACATGCATTCCTCCTTTCCTCGATGGCGAGCCTGTCCCTGAAAACTGGGATGGCACTCACCAGCAACGTTTAGTTTCTTGATGTCACTTGAGTTTTGGGATAACCACCGATAAATGCCTGGAGGTTCACCAGGGTTTCACACTCTTCTGTCCAGATATGTCAGATAAGTGATATTTTCGAGGAAGGGAGGAATGACAAATGCATTATTGGCATTCAGATGGGGCCTGGGACTTCTTGATTTTTCTTCTTTTTTTGTATCTGTACAGTCATGTTGTTCAACCACTGCAGTCATTGTTAATTCTTGTACAAGTTGTATCACTGGTTGTTGTACCATATCTGACATTTGTAATTATGAAATAATACACTGCCATTTGTATAAAAATACTTGTGTCTTGACTTATTTGTGTCATATGTTGATATATTTTTTATGAATAAATACGCACAAACAGAAAAAAAAATAGGAAATAATAAAAAATAGTGTCATGCGGTAAGACCTGTGTTACATCCAAGCCACAATATGAATCTGCACTGCTGGTATTACAGGCTATTTCCTGCAGGTAAGATTTTAATACAACCTTTTCTACTACTTCCTTTCATTCCTTCCAGTCATTGCATTAGAAAATATTCCTTTCAAAGTTTTAGATTTCTTTCTGTTGTTTGATTGTCTTTTCTTCATTAAAGCTACCGTTGCTAACTTACATTAGAATAACTTTTTGTCATTTTGGCTCAAACTGTCACTAAATCCAGACAGTAGTGCATGAGACAGATGATCTGTGGAAAAACAATCATGTTCTTCCTCTTCCTTGTGGTGCTTCTAATGGCATTTTCTAGAATCCACCACACCTGAACGAAAACAACCAATCAGAGCCGAGGAGTCTCAGTTGCAGCAGTCAATCAAAACTGCTCATGAACTGCAGTCACACTGTCAAGCCCGCACTGATCAAATATGAGTACAGATCTTGTTACTGCATTTCCCTTTCCTCACACCGGTACTGGCCTCTCTTCACTGGTTACCTGTGAAGTACTGAATTGATTTCAAAATTATTTTATTTGTTTTTAAAGTGCTGCATGGACACACAGCTGCTTACATCTCTGAACTGCTTATTCCCTATTCCACCTCCCGACCCCTCACATCTGGTGACCAATCACTACCCTCCATTTCACCTACCAAGTTAAAAACAAAAGGTGATTGAGCATTTTCAGTTGTTGGTCCTAAAGTGTGGAATAATCTCCCACTTACAGTTTGACCTTCCCCCTCTACCTTTCTTAAGACCCATCTCTTTTCTTTAGCCTTTAATTATCACTAGGAGGAACACTGCTTAACACGTGTATTTTCACTGTTTTATTTTGTTGCTTGTGCAGTTATTGTATGCTCTTATTAATTGTACTTACACTCTCCTATTAATGGCGGTTTTGTTTGATCATTCCTGTGTTTTTTTATTTCTTTGTGAAGCACTTTGGTCTATATTTGTTGTTTTTAAATGGACTCTCAAAGTAAAACTGACTTGACTAAAATGAGAAAGTTTGCTCCTGACAATGGGCGGTGCATTGTTGACTGTTTTCAGCATGGGCCACAAAATACCATTAGTAGCACTACAAGGAGGCAGAGGAACACATTTTTTTTTCACATATTATCAGTTTCGTGTACTACTGTCAAATTATAGTGACAACAAATATGGCATTACCATCTACGGCTTTAATTATCTTCCACTTAGTCAGGGGTTTAACCTCAGTAATATAATTGTCCATGTGAGGATGAGAGCTAGATAAATTAGATTTCCATGCATGTGTTTTTATTCCTTGCTTTTGATACATAGGAAGCTCTATTAGCCTCCTCACTGACACACCGCCCACTCAACTATCCTTGCACACGGATAAAAGCCACAGCTACAGCATGTGTGTCGCTCAAATGTGTTATTACAATCTGGATTACAGCGGTCCCGTGACAGCAACAATAACAACAAAAGGAAAAAAAAACCTTAGTCACTCATTGGCCCTTTCTCAAGTCACTCAACATATAGTCACAGTCTGATTGGCCGCTGACGTTTCACCCCTCCCCTTTCTGTGCAACTGTCACATATGCCACTTCCTGGTGTGATTGTCGGGGGATCGCAACGCTGCATCAAAGATGGCTTATTATCAACCAACATTTTGTCCGTTTAGGAATAATATTGTGAAAGAATAAGAGATATCTTGCACGAAGAGAAGGCGGAGAGCCGGTGGTAGCTGTCGCGAGCAGTGTTAACACTCTCGTCGCACTACGCACCGCTTGCTCTCTCCGTGCGCTAACTTGTCCCCACTGTGCTAGCTAGTTAGCTCACATAGTAAATATTAGCTAGCCTAGCTACCGTTAGCTTCCTTACTGTTGATTGCTAAAATGGCCACCATGGAGAAATTGATGAAGGCCTTTGAGTCTCTGAAGTCATTCCAGCAGCAACAGGGACCACCAACCGCCGAGGAGCTTGTCCAGAGGCAGTAAGTGGATTGTTTTGTCTTACGGAGATCGCATAGCAAGCTAACAGCTAGACAGGTAGCTTAGCTCGCGAGCTAACGTTGGTGCCTGTCAGGTAACGACACCAAGGGTTAATAGCTAGCCTGAAGCCAGTTACGCCAACATGCAAGCCAGTAACCAGACCCATTATTGAAACTTCTCCGCTGTCTATCTACCCGTTGCCAGCTGTTGCACCAATGCTTAGCGAGGATTTGCTGCCTGACATTATCTGAGTGCCAGCAAGGGAGATTTTTGGGGTCAGGCTAGCTGAATGATAGCTAACACAGAAGGCATCCGCTAATTGATGCCCACGCACCTGCTCAAAGGGTCAGGGATCAGTTAAATGACTCAAAGTCTGCTTAATAAGGTGATCTCGGTGGACCAATTCTGTTTGCAATGTAAATGTTAAATTTGAGTGTAACATGGTGCAGTTAATTGTACAGGAGGGCAGATGTAACTTCTGCCGATGACCTGGTGCATTAATACGGCAGCCTCCTGGAGTGACGTCACTTACGCCTGTCCATCGCACCCCATCCTGATCAACAGAGCCAGAGGTGCTGTAGTGACTGGGGGTGTGATCCAGAAAGCAGGTTTTGTTAGTGAACCCTGAGATGAGGGAAACTCTGGGTCTTTGAGTCACAGAAAGAGAGGTAACTGAAACTCTGGGTTAGTTACTGTGGTCACTGACTCTGGGAAGCTCACCTGCTGCCAGGTTTTCTAAACAAACCCTGAGTTTCTGTCTGTCTCCTCCCTCTAACAGAGCTAAACACACTGTTTCATTTCTTTATTGATACAGTCATATCAAAGCATGGTTCAAAGCACATTATTTAAGGGATATTTACTGAATGTCTGAATCAAAGTTTTGGTTGGGTATCAGCTTGTTATTCAGACTATCTAAAGAAACATTTATGCCCTGCCAATCAGTTCTTTGATCAATGGTTTTTGCCCTGATTCAGATATAATGCAGCATTAAGTCACCCTTATTTCAGAATCACACGTCTGCATGTCCTATTTTTACAGAGCTAGAGCACTTCCACTAAAATGTTTATTGCACATTATGTGTCATCTCAGTTTAGATTTTAAGAATTGGCACGATGGTTTAGACTCTTATGATCAATGAATAATAATCCCCATGATGTGACTGGGAACATAATTCCTCTAATATTTGAGATAAGGCTATGTTAATATTTCTGAGAGAACTGCATGGTGGTGCTGCTGCAATATGTGAGCGTGTGAGGGTTTTTTTTTTAATAGGCTGCATATAGTCTGAACAACAGCTTTTGAATGAAAATGTCTGAGTGTACTACGTTTGTTGATATAGCTGAGTGCTCTACTGTAGCTTATTTCTTTACTCCAGTGCAAATCCCCAACCAACCACATTATTACTGGATCCGGTTACAATCATGTCTCAAGGCCTTTGTCCTTGATTTATGTTTTTTAAATCTTCAACTCTATTTTCCATCTTCAGTTGCTGGCCCCTGTGTTTTATGTCCGTCAGACTAAAGCTGAACAAATAGATTTAAAATGTTGGCTAATATAGACTATAACCTAAATGATGAATGAATGGACAACCTTGAATGAAACTTCATGGTGCTAATTTATTACCCTGACTTAGGCTCTTTAAAAAAAGATAAATGTGCACAGTCCATACAGGTCTTCAAATATATCATAGATTTATCAAAATAGACATTTTTTATGGCAGACATTTTAATATGTAATAGTAGGAATAGCACAGGTGTATTTAATAACATTAATGATAGCTGCATTCCTCTTAGGTGAAGCCCGGGTATTGTGCATGCTGGCTCACTGCAATAGCTTACTGGGGTACTTAATGGAACTGAGCCATTAGTAATGTTATAAGTTTGGTCTGTTTTTTTTCTACTATGACAAGTCAAAATGTATGCTGTGAAAAGGTCCACCCTGCCGAGCTCCAGTGGTGTAGTTTGCCATCCCAGTTATTGTTATCTGTACAATTTACCTGTTGCAATGGTGGATTGTAGTATCTTGTAGAGCTCCATTGATGATGGCTTTTTTTCATTCACCGCGCACAAGCTTAACTCAGATTGAACATATTCAGAGTTGATTAAACTGACCCTGATCCCGAAAACTCAGTGTTTTCCACCTCAGGGTTCATCAACTCAGAGTTCAGGATTGGACTCAGATTTTGATAAACCTGCTTTCTGAAATGGACCCTTAGTTTTTGTTTTGCCTCTGCTCAAAGAACCAAGCCTTTTCATTCAAGAAACACATGCCAGACACCTTCCATAATGACAGTATCATCTTTTCCATCTTTTCAAATATATTATTCACCTTAGTCAGTAATTTCATCTGCCAAGTTTCAAAATGGTTTGGTGTTAGTACCGCACCATCAGATTTATCTGGCTCATCTTGCAGTCCAGCAGTGCCCAAAAATGTCTGTTTTCACTTGTTGTCAGCAATACACTCCCCAGAATGGTTTCCCCTTTATGATTAGTATACAGTATAACCAATTTATAAAGGTAATATATTGTAGCTAGACAGTTTACACTGCCATAAACAATCATACTTTTGATGTATTAAATGACTATCAACTTCTAGTCCATGCAACATCTCAAAGCTATTATCCTGGATAGAATTAAATCTTGAAACTCAATATGTTTAAATCTGATGAGCCAATAAGGACTTAACTCAGGGGAAAGCCAAGTCTCCGCAATCATGCTTTGAGCTTCTGCAGTCGCTGGAAAGCAGCTGCGGTGCCTGGCTCCAAAAACTGCAGCTGCTTAGCTCTCACATGACTATCATTCTCTCTGATGCCACAGAAAATCATGAGCACGTCAGACGAAATCATAACTGGCATGCATGTTGTTATGATTGCAGATGTTAATTATGGTGTGGGCCTGGCTCATCTCTAGGGAGTCTACCATATTAACAACATGCACTGTTATGTTTGCGTGATGGGTGTAGTGTTTGGAAGGTTCACACAAGGAGGTCACCATTTTTTTATCAGTTGTGTATCCATAGAGAACATTGCTACATATTTTCACATGACGTAATGTAAAACAGCAGCTACCTTGAATAAGCTGCACAGTTAGTATTAGGCTACTCTTTAAGCTCTACGTCCTGTACTTGTTATACACAACATTATGGTGATTATAAATGGCATCACTAATGGTGTAAATGATGGAATATATATGCAGTCTTCCAGCTATGTAGAGAGTGTGATTTACCCAGTTGGAGAGCAGGGTTTTTGCTACTCTGTCACTGCTGCTGATATATGCTTTATAATTAGATGCAGAGTAAATCAGTCTGAAATTGTGGTCTTGTGAGTTTCCACTTAAATGGCTTGCCAGTTTTGTTATGGACATTTCTCCCTTTAATTCAAGGGATGCTTAGATTTGACTTGAGTTTGAATGTACACTGTGGTTCCTTTTATGTCTGCACAGGGATTTCTTTGGTTGTTGTCTTTTCAGTGATACCTACAGAATTGGCCAGCGTTGCAGTGTTTTATGGGTAGGGTGGTACTGACGTGTTACATTCAGTATTCCATCAGCAATAAATTTAATTGTAATCCTGATTCATTTTTAGAGATGTAATGACTACCAGGAGTTTAATTTCTTGGAGGTACTTTCTCAGTCTGGAACCAATTCTTCTGTCCAATCTGTCTCCTCCTCTGCCTCTATCGCTTCTTGTCTTTTGCTGACTCTTGTTTTTTATTTGTCCCTTTTCTCATCCTCGCCATCTTTTCTCTTTCACAGGAAAAAAGAACAGGCTACCACAAAGAAGGATAGGGTCACCCACTGCCTGACAATATGTGAAAACATAGTGGCTCAATCTCTGAGGTAGGCCTTCAGAGAGTGTGTGACAACAGTGACCTAAGCTTAATATTTGCCACTTTGAGTCGGATTGCATTGAGAGGTTATGACATTTTACCCCCTCTGATTTCATGATAGTTTTGAGTGTTTCATGTGTAAACAATTCAGAAAAGTGTTTTTTACATGTACAAGCAATGTCTGTTGAAAGTTGATAGTCTGTGTGTGTAATGACATTTGCCTCACCTTTCCTCTCTATGGTCCTGGGAGCAGAACATCTCCAGAGTTTCAGAAACTGCTGGGCATCGCCATGGAGATGTTCCTGCTCTGCAGCGATGACAGCGAATCAGATGTCCGGATGGTAGCCGATGAGTGCCTGAACAAAATCATCAAAGTGAGCAGGACCCCGCACTGCTTTCTTTTCTCCTATTTTCAACTTTGACTACGTTTACATGCACAACTTATTGTGTTTTTTGCCCTTATTCTGGAGCCTTTCTCTTTCATTCCTTCAACCACCTTCTTGAAAAGGTCAGCGATGAAATATTTGCGCATATCCAAAAACATCAATGTTGATATCAAAGTTTTTTATAATGTTTAAAAGGAGGTGTGTTTCTTCCTCCCACCCAAAATGTGTGATTTTAAATGAGTATGCATGTCAACCCCAAAGCCTTTCAAACTGTTGGCTGCACAATGCATTCATGACAAAACACAGGGCTGACCATAAACAAGCCAGAGACCGTGTGTTGCAAACTGTGGTAAAAAGCTGAGACGCATATTCCAAATGTGTTGTATACATGTCCAAAGAATGCTCCTCAAACCTGAATAATATTTGCATATCCCACATGTCTTAATCAGCAAATGCGTAATTTGGAAAAAGGCCTGATGGACGTATCCAAATGGAATATGCTGCTTATATGACTAGGACAGTATGCTGATCATCAATTAATTTTCTGTTAGCACCCAATGAGGACACAGTACACTTACAGAATAATTAGCCTTGGTTTGGAGAATAATTTTTGATATTTATTTTCAGGCACTGATGGACTCCAACCTACCTAGGCTGCAGCTGGAGCTATACAAAGAAATTAAAAAGGTATGAAGTATATGTTTGTGCTGTGAGTTGTTTTTTTTATGCCACAGTGTTATCCTCAGACCAGTGACAAATGTTTGACATTTGTTTCATGTAAAGTGCGAAAATGAAAACACCTTGTGTGCTGACATTAATGATTTTTGGGCATCTCTGTAGAACGGTGCCTCTCGGAGTCTGAGGGCGGCTTTGTGGAGGTTTGCTGAGCTCGCTCACCTCATCAGACCACAGAAATGCAGGTATGCACACACAATGCCTGAAAATGACCTTTTTGCTTACATGATGCCAAACTCAGAGGGAAAATCCCACCTGAAAAATAGCAAATTTTGGTGTACATTGCAAACATACTAACTAGTTGGTTAAGGCCCTGTCTACACGTATACAGATATTTTTGTAAATTCATATTGTCCTCACATTTGGCCTCTCATCTACATGCAAATAGAGTTTTAGGTTACTAAAACAGCTATTTAAAAAAAAAAAACCCTTTTGTTGTTAGAGGAAGAAACATCACTGTCTAACACACTTTGAAAAGGGTTTTTCGCTGCTTTGTTCTATTTGCATTCTTATCCTTCCCTCCATCTTTGTGGTCCAGACCCTACCTGGTCAACCTGTTGCCATGCCTCAGCCGAATCACCAAGCGACAGGAGGAGACAGTACAGGAGACTCTGGCTGCTGCAATGCCCAAGATCATGGCCGCCTTGGGACACTTCGCCAATGATGGCGAGATCAAGGTATCCAGACAAAGCAAAAATGTTGAAAGTGTTGATAATGGAAATTGAATTTTTGCTTTCAATTGCTTCATCTGTTGTCTTTTAGAATTTAATACCGTGTTTCTGTACCCATGCCTACATTTAATTTTAAAGGCTTGCTCCCTACCTGCAATGTCAAAACGCTGTCATTTTAAAATGTTTTAGATGTAACTAATTTAACAGAAATTACTGCCAAAAACTGGACACCATGTGCACGAGGACATATGCCTATCTGTACATCCTGAAAGCTTGAATTCATAGTAGTTCAACCATCTTTGTCCCAGGTGCTGCTGAAGTCATTCGTGGCCAACCTGAAGTCCAGCTCCCCCACCATCAGACGGACAGCAGCCAGCTCAGCCGTCAGCGTGTGCCAACACTCCAGACGCACCAGCTACTTCTACACCTGGCTCCTTAATGTGCTGCTGGGTAAGACACACACAAAGGCACACACTCATAGAAATACTCAAGACATTCACTTTCTCACCTGCCTAGTTTTAAATTAATTAGTTTTAATTAATTACATTTGTGAGCTATTTTAGTATTGAACTGCTTTTAGCTACAGCACTGCAGCTACAGACATTCAAATAGGACAAATAAACACACATCCTGACCTCCTGTGCTAAGATAAGATAAAACTTTATTTATCCAGAGGCAAATTGCTGTGCAGCAGTTGCAATACAAAGTTGAATGAGAGCAAATACAAAGAGTGCAAATATAAAACAGTATGGTGCAAATCCAGAATACATACAATATATATCCTTTTCTAGGTCTTCTGGTTCCAGTGGATGAGGAGCACCCCAGCCACCTAATTCTGGGCGTGCTGTTAACCCTTCGCTACCTGATGCCTCTGCTGCAGCAGCAAGTCAACACCACCAGCCTCAAAGGAAGCTTTGGAGTCATGAGGAAGGAGGCTGATGTACAGCCAACACCTGAACAACTGCTACAGGTAGAGAGTGGAGAGTGACTGTGTGGATGTCTGTGTTTGTATGTTAAGTGTCAAGGTTTGGCTAAATTTCACATTTGTGTGTCTCAAGGTGTACGAGCTGACCTTACACTACACACAGCACTGGGATCACAATGTAGTCACGGCGGCTCTGGAGCTCCTGCAGCAGATGTTCAGGACTCCCCCGCCAGAGCTGCTGCATATGCTCATCACTGCAGGCAGCATCGCACGCGGCACTGTATTCCGCCAGGACACCGAGAGCCGTGCACGCTCCGGCAGCATCCTCGAGCTCATTGGTAAACACATAAATCAGTCGGGACTGTGTTCATAAAGCTTGTTATCCCCTTTGTACAATGTAGTGTCGGCTCTGCAGTGTTTTACATAGGCGCAAGGCACTTGGGATGCCTCAGCTTCAGGTAGCTTTTAATTCATTAACCCTTGCTGATTTTGCCAGGTAATAATTACTCAATCAAACCGTGTTTTTGCTCTGCTCTAGTTCCTGCTTTGGTCTGTGTTCGCAACTTTTTTCTTTGCTTGCTAACTCTTTCCCTGTTGTCTGTAAATAATCGTTCGGTTTCCTATGAGTTTTTCTGAGCTTTTGCTGCTTTTCTCTTCCTCACCTCCTGTTTCTATATCCTGTTTCCTACCATTTGCAGCGGGGGGAGGGTCTTCCTGCAGTCCACTCATTCTCAGGAAACAGAGAGGTGACTAGTCTATTTATCTCCTCTACTCACCTCTACCCTCTAAGTGATGTTTCTGTCAAAGTTTGGGCAAATTTACCTTTGACTGAGTCACCTGTGGCGGTTGATTTTCCTCTGAATTGTGGATACGTTGTTAATGATGCACAGTATTTATTTTTTAATGTACGTATCCAAGAAAATCTAAGGCAGTTTCCTTTGTTGTTGTGTTTTTAATACACTCAGTTAAAAGTAAATTTGCACCACCCAGGTTTAAGTCTCTTTCCCTCTCTTCATCTGGTGTAACTGTTGATGTTATATTGACACTAAAGTTGTTGTTCTCAGGTAAAATGCTCTCTGGGGAGGAGGATGGGTTGGAGGACGACGCTGAAAGAACAGAGGTCACCACTGGTGCCTTCACAGGTGAGATACAACCACCAGGAGGCAGAATGTGAAGTATTATGCAACAGTGGCAGTCTTACCAGCTATATTTCATTTTTAAAACTAATTGATAAAGCCCCATGCTGCAGTGAAAAATAAGCTTTGTATGTGTCTTTCTTGCAGCATCGGTCGTTGGTGCAGAAGGCTCCACTGCGGCCCAGGTTGACATCATCACTGAGCAGCCGCGCTCCTCCCAGCACACCCTGCAGCCTGGCGACTCTGTGGACCTCAGTGCCTCTTCAGAGCAGGGCGGCGGTGGGGGTGGAACATCTGCATCCGACACGCCTGAGTCACCCAACGACAACGAAGAGGAAATGCTGAGTCGGAGCTCCAGTGGCGGGGCCAACATTACTCCAGAGACGGCTGACTACACCACACCAGAGAATGCCACACCGGAGGGAGGACCCTTAGGAGAAGGCGGGACTCTGCTAAGTACTAATGACCGCTCACTTCCACCCAGCGACTCCTCGCAGACCACCACAGAGGGACCAGATTCAGCTGTCACCCCTTCAGATGTAGCAGAACTGGTCAGTGTGACTGAATGGGCGTGCAAGTGAGATTTAATTTAGTCGGTGAATACAGCTTAAACACACAGTGCTTCACTTCTGTGTATATATGTGTGAAATCCAGAGGACAGCCTGCTTCCCTGGACACGAAAAGACTTAATTACCATGAAGTGCTAAAATTAACTATGAACATTAATGTCCCTAATGGCAGAGTTTCCACTTTAAGAATGATGCTACACTTCATGGAGTTAGGATTTGTAGAATGGACAAAATATTAAGCACTGAAATCAGCATAAGGTGGTTTTAAATGTTTTAGTCCTTTACCTACAAATTGCATATACGTGAATCTAATTTAAATAATTTCCCAAATCATAGTATAATGCTTTCAGTTGATGACTTTGTTATTGGTAATATTAAAATGACTCTGCTAACACAGATAAAACATGGCCTAACAAGAACATTTATAGCCACATTAACACATTTTTATTTAGTCTTGCACCTAACCTTGCCAATATCAGTCCTGTTGAGCCAGGAGAGGTATTTCCTCTCTGATAGCCAAGATGGATCAAAGCCTGTCTTTCTGTGTTTGTCGAAGGGTGCAGCTGTATCAACAGGAGAGGTGCTAGTGCTCTGGCTAGGACTAACGTTAGCTTCCTTCCCATTAATAGCAGAACTGCTTGCATCCTCGCCACTGTTGCCCAGATTCAGGTTGGGCGGCGCATCTAATTTTTTTTACGTTATTGCACGAAACATAACAACACCTGTATGTGTGGATGGGCAAAACCTCGCCCTCTATAAAGCATAGTGAGGACTCCCTAAATGACAGCAAAATGCAGTAAAGACACTTCCACTGAGCTGAAATGAAAGAGTGCACCTAAATTGTTTCAGAAAAGCTCTGACCAGAGGGCCCCACAGAGGTAAATCATTGATTTTCGAATAGATGGATATTTGGCTTATTTGGCAGGGGTTACAATTATACTGGAAAAACTGTCTTCCCTGTTTGGGAACTTGTTGGTAGTTATGTTTAGTACATAAGATAAGCAGTAATGGAGCACAACATGCAAACCACTTGTATGGTAGTGTATGGTGTATGCAGAATTTTATAATAATAAATGCTCCTTGGAGTACATAGGTGAGATGTGACATCACAGATTTGGTTCAGTTGTTTGGGTTTTGATGCTCCCCTTCAGAGACATTTTGGTGTGAGTTTGTCCACTCTAACAATTCTACCTCTATGGCCTTCCCCCCTCCACCTTACCCTTCTCCCCGCTTCGTCGCAGTCGCGCACTCCATTGCCGCGGGTGATTGAACCATCCCCTCCCTCGCCAACTTCCACCGAGGGTCCCGATGCCACAGACAGCGACTCTTCTGTCTACACTGCTTCCTCTTCGTCCTCTTCTTTCTCTTTCTCCTCCTCTTCCTCCTTCTATGCCACCTCTTCCTCTAGCACTAGTGACAAGGTCAGCCAATTGGACACTTTGAACGGAGTGGGAGGGGCTTGCTTGTCTGGAAACCTTTGGCTTCCTCCATTCTTTCCCCTTTCGTTCGCTTGTTCGTCACAACCCATGCACAGAACTTACCCTGCTTATTGCTTCCTTTCCCTTCTTGTTGTCATTGACAATATATCAATCCCCGTCTCCTCCTCCTCCTCCTCCTCCTCTTCCTCGTTTCCAGTGATTTCCTCTCAAAAATGAGATGCTTTTGAAAGACCTTTGTAAAAGCAAGCAACCCCAACATCCCATGCCGATGGCTTGCATTAAAGAGTTCAAAGTTGAAGCATGAAGGCCATCTGTTCCTTTAACCGTTCACCCTCAGATTTGATTCCCTTTACCTTTCAGAGAGACTGTGACAGGCTTTTGTTCCTGCGGAAGCCAAACCTGGGAAAACAATTATTTAAAATTCTCGGATTGAGAGTTCTTTATACATCTTCCCAGTTAGTTCTCTGTAAAATGTCGTGTGTTCCCCATGTAGTCGAAATACTAATACTAGTTTGGATCAAAAGCTTGGTCTTCCTCTGGATTGTGACAACCACAATTGCAGAGTTCTCAAGCCTGTGCTTTTTTTTGTCTGTGTGTAGTTGATTTGCTGTAAATTAAGTGACTCAAGCATGACCAAGCAGAGTTTAATAAAGGGAATGTTTGACTTGCAGTTTCAGTTGTTTGTTATGCTGTGTCTCAATGTCTCCTCAATCCAGCAAATCTAACTCAAAAATGAATGAGTCAGAACTACTTCAGTATCGTTTGCATGTGGGTGCATTGCAGATGTGTTGCATTAAATGTTTCTGTAATCTAACTTTAGTTTCTTACTGACAATGTTTGCTCTGTGTTTCTGTGCATAAGGTGCTGGATGGCAGTGAGAGCCAGTACTCTGGGATGCAGATCGGGACGTTACAGGACGAAGAAGACGAAGGAGCAGCACCTGCCTCCCAAGAAGAACCTCCAGAACCCTTCCTGCAGTCAGCGCTGGGTATGCTTGTGTACACTAATATGCACACACATAAATGGGTTGACAGTGGGAACAGGTTGCTTTTCATTGATAAGAAGCTTTAATCATGCTTTTTGTTTCTATGTGCAGCTCTGAGCAAGCCTCATCTGTTCGAAGGCCGAGGTCACAACCGGCAGGGATCAGACAGCAGCGTGGACCGCTTCATACCAAAGGACGAACCCGCTGAACCCGAACCTGACAACAAGGTAAAAATACATCCACGCACCAACATCCATGCCAATTTTTTGTACCTGAAGGTAAAGAAGGCAAAATTATTGTGTATCTGTCCTTAACTTAAAATGCCTGCTTTTCAGCCATCTCGGATAAAGGGTCCGATTGGGCATTATACAGACCAAGGGGCTGAGCCGCTGGTGCACTGTGTACGGCTTCTTGCTGCTTCCTTCTTGCTGACAGGACAAAAAAATGGTAAGTGTTATCAGAACTTCTTAAAATATGCCATAGGTGTGTTTAAAGATGTCATCCTATTTTCCTACAAATAGACTGATATAAGTCCAAATAAGTACCAGTGACATTAGCCCTGTTTTTTAAAAGGTGCTCAAGTTGGAGCATCTGTGAACTACAGCACTATGAACTTTTACTTTTAGGTTTATCTGGCTTCCTTTTTTGTTTCATTTGCATATAAATCTTGGCTGTGCTATGTTTTTCCAGGTCTGACCCCTGATAAGGAGGTGCGAGTGAGCGTGAAGGCTCTGGCGCTCAGCTGTGTCGGGGCGGCAGCAGCACTGCATCCTGAAGCCTTCTTTAATTCCCTCTACCTGGACCCGCTGGACGGCGTTCCAGTAGAAGGTAGGGGCATAAAAATTTTAAGAGAATCCTATTCAGATGATGCTTGATGCCTCAAGAGGTCCCTTTTGACAAAAGGCCTATATTGGGGATTAATGGACAAAACTAATATTGTGGGTTGGGAGAGAGTTACTGCCCCAAGCGAAGGGGTTCAAGTATCTCGGGCACTTGTTCACAAGTGAGGGTAAGATGGAGCGTGGGATGGATATGTGGTTTGGTGTGGTGTCAACAGTGATGTGGGCACTATGCTGGACCGTAGTGGTGAGGGGATGAAAATGGATGGATGGAATATTGTGACAGTCATCACTCAGATCCTAAAGTCTAAGGGCTTTTATTATTAATTTACTAGAACATCATCATACTATTTTCACATGGAAAAGAATTCACATATTTAGGGGCCTTGCACACCCACACAGGTGTTTCCACTTATTCAGGCTTGTTAGGCCTCTGCTCAGGTGGGTGGAGCTATGCGGGCAGACATTTTGACTTGTTGCAGTAGGAAAAGCACAGGTGTAAGTAATGAAATCCATGATGGCTGAATTCCATTTAGTTGCTTTCGTTTCAGGTTGCTGATGGTGTGCATGCTGGCTCTGAACTTGTACAACTGAGAACCATGATATTGAGAATTTGTCATGATATGATTATATGGATGCACAATAAGCAATATTACTGAAGGTTGAAGCCTGAGGAATGAGTGTAGCTGTGGCAGAAGATTTGAATTGCCTCTCTGAATCTCCAGGATGAGCAAAATGTTAGACTTTTGGTGAGATGTTGCAGGTAAAATTGGCTTTTGTTCACTGAAGCCCATTGTTAATGTGGATATCTTTATTGAAACAGTAGATGTTTTTGTTGGTCTGTGGCCTTTTGCATTCACTTATCTTAGTGAATATAATTTCCGCTGTTTTATGGAGCACAATGGGGCTTTTACACAGCAGACATTTTGACTTGTCATTGT